CAGATGGGAGAATCCGGGTAGCCCTATTTAACTTTCCAGGGACTATGCACGACAGCACCATKGCAGATTATGGCTTATATGAGAAGGCAGAAATCATATATACCAGGACAGGGGGGAGAATCGTTGTGGATTCCGCGTTTAAGGTGAGAGGAGCTGAGTATCTCATACGGAGCCAGCAAAATGATCCGGATAATTTCCCCACAATGGCACAGAACAACCAGGCAATAGTAATCAATCGTCAAGCAACGGCTGTCCGCCAGCTATCTGAATGGGGCATGCGAATGATTCAAGGGCAATTTCCACGGATGAAAGAGAGGCTTACCTTGGAAGAGCTTGGAGACCGGAAGGTCATTCTTAATCTCTTGTTCTTGTTGTATAATTATCAATGCCGAAGAGTTGGCATTAATCAAATCCTCAACACCTTCATGAGTGATACCAATGGCTTCGACTCCTATGAAGAGATGAGGGACACATATGCACAACGCCAAGTAGGATATTTCTCCTATGAGAGGGCCCCTGATGGAGATGCTAATTCAGCATTCCAATTCTTATAATTGTCGATTGTCGATTGTCGCGTGGTGGGGGGGGGGGGGTTGTGTTGAGTGTTGATTGTCGATTGTTGCGTGTCGATTGTTGCGTGCGTGCCGGGGGGGGGGGTCCTCCATGGTCGTTCTTTAGTTTCGATTAGTTCTAGTTATTACAGTTAGTTTGCATATACTCCAGTTAGTAATTAGTATTATGAATGAGGAGCTGAGCAAAAACTGAGMAAAAAGAGACTMTASAAAGGAGGAACCTACGCGATACACCGTGTTATTTGTTCTAAGGGACACGCGATACACCGTGTTATTTTTGTCATACCAGTTTTGTTGCATACCTTAACAGAAGGGGAACGCGTTGCACATGGAAGCAATCCCGTGCGTTCCCCCTCTGTTACCAGTGCCGGTTCCACCAGTGCCGGTTTTTTGTGGGAAGGTATGCAAGAAAACTACAAATAACACGGTGTATCGCGTGTCCCTTAGAACAAATAACACGGTGTATCGCGTGTCCC